CAGTGAGCCTCCCTTGTTCTCATTTATCTGCTTACTCCCTTCTTCCCTGATACCATTTCCCCAACCCAGAGCTTCCTAACCTATCCTAATGATATCACTTGAACACTATATTTAGTTTTTTGTTGTTTCTTTTAAAAAAATCCTTTTTGAGGGCTGGGGATTAGCTCAGTTGGTAGAGTGCTTGCCTTGCATGCACAAGGCCCTGGGTTCAAACTCCAGCACCACACATACACACACACACACACACACACGCACACACACACACACACCAAAACAAATAAACAAACAAACAAAAAAACCCAAACCCCTTTGTTTTATCCATTCCAAACCCTTTGGATTACACATTCTCCTTTAGATATCCCATTTATCTGTCCTCTTCACAGCAAAAATTTCCCTCAAGTTTGGATGGGATCCATTGTCTTTTCTTTCTGCTTAAGCTTCTACCATCAGATTTCATGTCCTGAGGTGGTATGGAGGAAACCTGAAGAGCTAAGCTAAAAATTTATTAAAATCAGAGCAGAATTTCCCACAGTCTAATGGTAGAGAGCAAAGATTTGGCAGAAAAGAAATCCTGGTTAAAAAAAGCAGGCTCTCCCTTAAAAGCCTCAAGACTGAAGAGGTAAATAGAGTCTTCCAGAAACTTTAAAATGGTTGGTTCTCTATGCTCCCTGACTACCAGAGTAGGTAAACATTTTTAAGTATATGATAACTATTTAAAGTCCTTAAACTTTCTTATATAGAATGTTTGGATTCAAAAAGATCTCTGGGCATTCCAAAAGGCAGATGATATGACTTAAAACAACATGAAAAAGACAATGGAAACAGATCTGGGGGTGAGCCACAGAAAGTTAATAATTGAGAACTTATATATAAATAGGGGCTCTAGTAGGAATTTTAGAAGTAAAAAATGAAATACTTGAAAAAAAACCTAATAAATAGGTTTTGTTAAACCCACCAGACATAGCAGAAGACAGAATTATCAAATTGAGAAGTTGATGGAACACATCCAAATTGAAGGAGATGTGGGGCACAGTGGAAAGGTCTAACCTTTAAAAAAAAATTAAAACACAGTTCCAGAAGAAGAGAGGAGAGAGGTGAGGGAGGGAGGAGGGGTAGAGGGGGAGGGAGAGAGAGAAAAGAGGGAGGAGAATGAGGCAGCAGAACATGAAGAAATAATTGATGAGAATTTTCCCATCTGATGAAAGATCACTACACATTCAAGAACTTCTACAACCCCAAATGAGAATAAATACAAAGAATAACACACCCAGGCACACCATAGTTAAACTGCTGAAGACCAAAGAGAAAGTCTGAAAAGCAGAGAGAGAGAGAACACTACCTTCAAAAGAACATTGATAAGACTGACAGTTAACCCAC